GTCGTATGTTCCTCTTGACTGGATTACACAGAACTAATATATATGATGTCATTTGATTTATGTTTTTGGCAGATTATTCTATTTCCGGCATATGCCAATATGTGGGTTGCCATTGTGCGGCTGACATTGCCGCGGAAATGCATACAATAATAATAATATAGCGTAAGCATACATCTCTCTGCCACCTGGCGGCAGGACAAATCAGTGCATCATGTAATCCTGCCATGGCGGCGGTAGTAGCGACATAAATTCGAAATGAGTATCCCGAGTACAGTTCGGTGTTTGGCACCGCAGCACTTTCAAGCAGCAAAAACACAGAACTGGTGAAAATAGCTCTGGATAGCGGCATACGCTTGGCAAGTGGACAGTACTGATGAAGAACACCTCTGGATAGCGACATACCCTTGTCAAGTGGACAGTACGGGTGAAAAACACCTCTGGATAGCGGCATACCCTTGCGAAATGGAAAGTACTGATGAAGAACACCTCTGGATAGCGGCATACCCTTGCCAAGTGGACAGTACTGGTGAAATTACCTCTGAATAGCGGAATACCATTGGTAAGTACATGTAGAGGAGCAGATGCATTCTGACTACCAATCATTGCCAGGTTGTGTAGTGTACAGAGGGAAGTAAGGGCAACCAGTCGGACCAATGACAATTTGGACTAGCTTCAAGACGGGTCTGTCATTGATCTCTTCAGCAGCATGATTATGCTGCCTGATTCAAATCTGATGCAGTCTGTCGGCAGGCTCTCGATCAATTCGAAGCATCTTAGCAACCGACGAATGCCGAAAGTGCAGCAAACTCAAGGAGGACGCAGTCAAGCTCAGCCAAATTTGCGACGGGCTGGCGGGCATAAACTAACTTCCTTAGAATAGCCATGGTTATTGGCAATATATGCTTCACTGCCTCTATCACATGGCATTGCTAGGACAACCATCAACACTGTCTTGAAAAGCGAGGTCTTGGCCAGAAGATCCTCTAGACCCTGTTCAATGTGTGCATTTCTTACATCTTCCAAGTAAATATATATCACACAAGGACGGACACAGCGAGCAATAAAGTGCAAGGTAGCAAATGACAGGATCAGAAGATGAGTAAGGTTGCAGATTGCAAAGGGATCAAAACCAACAAAACAACGTTCACCGGCAGAGTGTGGTGCATCTGATATCAGCAGCAATTGCACAGGCAGTTTACTTGGTGACTTCGATCACAGGAACACAGGAAGATGACCATGGTCCGGGTTTAGCTGGGCTACTGGAGCATGACAACGAAATTCCTGCATACGAAAAGGAGAAAGCCAATCGGCAGTGACATTCTGGGAGCTAGCAGTGTGCATCTGATTGACACTGATATTGATGACATTGCGGAGTTTGAAGCTTGAAGATGTTTCAGCAAAATCTGATGCTACCCCTTGCAGTGCAGGCTGCTACTAGGGGCAAATAACTCATTCCACTCAATAGACTGCAGCATGGGGGTGCTGTTCCATGAACCTTGAGTCAACTTCCCGCTGTAAGCACCTCATTAATGGGTGCCATTTGCATCTGTGTGTAGTCTGGAGGTCCAGTGATAAGGTGCTATTAGGAGGAATGACATGGGCAACAAACTAGAGCTTATCCGATAGGGATTCAACTTGGCGTTGGATATTTTCTGGCTGTTGATTGTGCTGGCCAACACCAACATGGATATCCTAGCCTAGAGCCGCACACAGTCCAGGATGATACCGAGTTAAGTCAATGATCTCACAGAACCTTCCACCTTTGCGAGTGACACGAATAGATAGAGGAAAGACCGCAGCAGGATTACTAATTAACGCTGTGCAACAGTTTGGCCAGTATAAAAGTTTAGAAAATCGTCATAGGAGTTGCAAAGCTTGGCATTAGAGAAATGGGTACTGACAATCCACTCTATGGCTGAGGAAACTGAATCAAAGAGATTGGCAGAGTTCAAGCAAAGTCCAAATGCTAGAGCACGTTCGTACTATTGACTGCCTTGCCAGAATATGACAAATAGCGGGTGGTCTTCAGCACATGAATTGGGATATGCCGGAACACACTTTTGATCCCTTGCTTCACAAGATACACTGGCTGAGGTGGGGCCATACTAGTAGTATCTGATTTTAACACGTTAACATGTACTGAGCAGAGTGTGGGAAAGGAAGATTATGAACGCATGTAACAGGTATTTGCAGTTCACGTTGGGATCTCGTGCTCCCATCAAACTACTGGGCTGGATGCTGATATTTTGCCGGAATACTTGCTACTTGGAGGATCCTTGTCACAGCGGTTGCAAATGTAGATGATCTGGCAAATTGATCATATGCAATTGCCGAGATTTAGGGTGAGGTAGATGACGGCGCCTGCATTGTTGCGGGTGAGCAGTGAAGTTGGTGCTGTTTGGGCTTGGTGTGCTAATTCGAGATGAAAGAAAGGACACAGTCATGTTGTGTTCATACACCAGGTGAACAAGGTTTCATGACATACATTCAGGCCTAGCTTCGCCTGGGATACAGAGTGGCCAAGTATTTACGTCAATGGTATCAGATTGCTTGCCTGGCTGGGAAGCGACAAGCCTTTAAAATTGTGGATTTTACAAAGCCTCTGCGAAATACTGCCTGTTGATCTGCAAAAATCCATGCACTGGGATAACAGCCTTCCGGCAGTGTAATAAGAGTGCATTACTAATCACAACATTCATATGGAGATACCCTGCTGTTGACCAAGTTGTGATAGCATGCAGACGTCTACGAGCCAGGCGAATGGTGCCCACCACCGCTTCAACTGATATTGCATCCCCGGTAGAACTAAATTTGAGCAAAAAAGACTTATGGTTATCAACTGCCTCCAAGGTCTAAAGCAACAGTAGGTCAGAGAAGTTCCAGCAGATATGAACCCGCAGCCATATTCCAAAGCACCTATCTTGATCACCCAGCCAGCAGGGTGTTGATTATGCAGCACTCTTGCCAGTGTCGGCTAACACAGCTGGTGACGCTAGTACTGTCCATGGTTGCGGCAAGACAGAGGTTCCAACCTTGTCCGTGATGGCAGAATGAACTTCATCCCAAATTACTTCTCGAATCCCGGCTGGACCCAAAGTAGATAAGTGGCTGACTAGCAATTCGCACACGTCCATGGCGAGAGGGGCAGAGTCATCTGAATGCTTTGTACTCCATGTCATCCAGCGATATCTGAACCAAAGTGCACAGGTGTCACTGAAGTCTGAATTTGAAGCGCAAATATATTTCAGAAAATCCGATGCTGATAAAAGCAAGAAGTGCACAGTAGACGACGGCATTGTTTCAGGCATCAACAAGCGTCAATGAAGTCTGATTTTGAAGCGTGGAGATGAGAGAATGAAAATCTGATGGTAGCACAAGCTAAAAGTCGCCAAAATTATGACTTTGCAGTGTAGCCAACATCAAGAAATAAAGAGAAAGCAAGCATTCACGCACATGCACGGACGACACCATGTTGGTTGGCGTTACCATGGAAGATACATGTGACGTCAGGCTAGGTGTGCACAAAGCTCTGCGTTGGCAATGCAATTGCAGTACCACATAGCACTTAACCCTTTCCATGCTGGGCCCCTTTTCTCCAATCGGCCGGCTGTCCAGCGCACTGACTCGCTTTGCGTAGTTTGCGCACAGCTCTGGACGAAATTTTTCTCCATTTACTCCACCTTGATGGAATTTCATCATCCTGGGCTCGTTGGAAAGATCAGGACCAAGCGAATCCATCATGGTAGATCTCAGCGACATAGACACACCAGGGCCACTTCCGCCTCCTCTCCAAACTACGCCACCGTGCCTCGGAACGGTACAACAACTCAATTTCATGTTCTTGTTCGGCATCTTGCCCAAATTCACCCGATTTTCACGATTCGAACTGCGCTGGAAAGCTGAAGTCCAAGCGCTTCATTTGATGTCCATCATGCATGCGTTGTGCCAAAGGGAAATCCCCTAGCCTGCTCCAAAAAACTGCGAAGTCATGAACAAAAAAATCGAGTTCCCTCCGGGCCGTGATCTCGTTGTTCATCCTGTCGCCAAACAGTGATTCTTTATCCGATGGCGCTGAACTTTATATGACCTCAAGACATTTACAACGGTGTATTCATTGTCGCGATGTGTTTATGTTTCACGGAGTTACGATAGTTTGTACACTGGACGATGCACTGCGATATAATGTGCGTTCGCCCCGGGCAGTGATTTCGGTGTTCATCCTGTCGCCGCTCAGCGATTCTTTATCCTATCGCGGTGAAATTTGTATCTTCGGAAAGATGACCTCAAGACCTTTGCTACAGTGTATTGATTGTCGCGACGTGTTTATGTATCACGGATTTACCATAGTTTGTACACTGGTCTATGCACTGCGATATGATGCGTGAATTATTTTCCGCATATATGCGCTCATGGCCAAGCACGTCATAGTCTCAGAGCGCATATATGCGCTCCTGGCTCGAAAAGGGTTAAGTAGCGGTGCGTGACAAAAGCAAACATGCCAGTATGCATTTTAACACACACTAACTACCCTAATTGCCAGAGTATAAAGCGCACCTGAGCATAATACACAGACCTTATTTTGCCAAAGTTTAACTTAAGGCAACTCAAGGTATATCGGGAGTATAATACGCAGCCCTGGTTAGAGAACATTTTGGATTACAAAGACAGTACTATAGTGTGATCAGAGCCAACATTTTCATAAAAACTACATCTGTAAATGCAAGTGTAACATATGGTGTTTCATACACATCTTGCATTTGCAGTGTAGCTGGCAAAACACACCAGAAATGTATGAATATGTTTTGTGTAGAGTCATTGACTCAGACGTTGCAAATTTGGCTACAGTGAGATCCATAGTCATTAGATTATTTCCAAAGTGCACATATTCTCATATTCGGAGCACAGTGCTCACCGTAGTGACTTGCGGCTGAAATAGCGTATCTAAAGTTTGAACTACACTCTGGCAAACACGGTACAATACAAGTGTGACAAAAACTCACCCTGCGAGGGCCATTCACGGTAGCTGATACAGCAGTAACTAATGACCGCACATCGCCGATTTTTCCCTCCAAGTCACTGCGCATGTCAGATTGAACTGCAAAGTTGTCAACAAAAACACACAAACAAATAACAAGTAAACGGTTTCCTCTGAGACAAAAATGACAAAAATGCGATAATACTCATTAAAAGTACACGTGACTTCAGGCTCATTACAAACATCTTGAAAGTTTTTGGTTTCAAAAGTATACCTTTAAGCCTTCTCGTCAGGTGAAATACAGGCAAGAGACAAGGAACAGGAACAATGGATTAAGTACAGTAAGGAGGTGGTAAAACAGCGCAAAGAAGTAGATAGCTAAAGTTTGGAGTATTATTACAAAAAGAATGAAGTTGAAGACACCACTGCAGCTATCTTATTGTTGATAAATATGGTGGTAAAGACACACCCGGCAATATGGCGGTAAACACACGCCACACGGGTGTGTCTTTACCACCATATTTATCAACCATAAGTTCAGCTGCAGTTGTGTCTTCAACTTCATTCTCCCGAGTCAAGCTCCGTATGAAGACATCCAAGAAGAAGATTGCCTGATGAGTCCAGCGGGGACGAAACGTACGTCGCAATCAAGCTATGTCGTTGCTGTGTCATCTTCTATTTGCCATGCGCTACTTGATGTACAAGCCTGCTATGCCGGATACCTCCAACCATGCATCGACCAGGCGCCAGGCGCGAACTGATGGTGCTGGTCGTGAGAAGGAGAGCTCTGTGCTAGAACGTTGCAGCCTAGAGAGTGTGTGTGGGCAGGCGTGTGTTTACCGCCATATTGCCGGGTGTGTCTTTACCACCATATTTATCAACTATTATTACAAATACCAAACAAGGCCTTTCTTATATCCATACTATCCCTACACACACAATATAGCTATTCTTATATCCATACTATCTCTACACACACAATATAGCTATTCTTATATCCATACTATCCCTACACACACAATATAGCTATTCTTATATCTATACTATCTCTACACACACAATATAGCTATTCTTATATCCATACTATCCCTACACACACAATATAGCTATTCTTATATCCATACTATCCCTACACACAATATAGCTATTCTTATATCCATACTATCCCTACACACACAATATAGCTATTCTTATATCCATACTATCCCTACACACACAATATAGCTATTCTCATATCCATATTATCAAGAGTCCATAACCCAAGAGTATGCAACTGTGATTATGGGTGCATGCGTGGCGCGCTGCCTTCATTAGGTAACTTGCCTTCATCACGCTCTGAAAGCATGCATTCAAACTCTCAATTTCTCGCACGAGCCCATCCGTTTTTGCTCGATTCGTTCCATTACCCGCACAATCTCTGAATTCTGGCGCGTGAACTCCAGTTCTGTACGAAAGTTCATTTAAAACTAGAGGGAAAGTGCGGTGTTTGATTTTCCGCAGTGCGCGGACTGCAGCTGAATGATGTAATGAAGGCAGCGCGCCGCGCGGTTGGCCCATAGAAAAGAGATCACAGTTGCATACTCTTGGGTTATGGACTCTTGATATTATCTCTACACACACAATATAGCTATTCTTATATCCATACTATCTCTAAACACACAATATAGATACTGCGTAACAGCAAGGTACAATTGTGCTCAATGAAATCTAACCCAAGTGCAACACCATCTCCCTGCACCAGTTCTGGTATTTGTGCATGTGCAAGCCGAGGTGCATTCCTACCCTTTCTAAGACGTCAAAGTATGCAAGTTGAGGGCGCCAAAGATCAACTTTTTTCGGATTTCACCGATTCTTACAGAAAAGCTGTTAACTACACATGCATACATGCACGCAACCATACATACACAAAAACACCATACATACTGGAACACATCCCCCCCCCCCCCCCCCGCCTAATGGGACAAGAAAGGTTGGTTACTGTTCTTTCACCAGGCTGTCGCAAATCACAGTGATAATTCAATATGACAGTGTACATGCCTGACAAGGTAGTCAGTAGAGGTAGACTGGTCACTAGTCACACTGGTCAGTAGGGATAGACTGGTCACTAGTCACACTGGTCAGTAGGGATAGACTGGTCACTAGTCACACTGGTCAGTAGGGATAGACTGGTCACTAGTCACACTGGTCAGTAGGGATAGACTGGTCACTAGTCACACTGGTCAGTAGGGATAGACTGGTCACTAGTCACACTGGTCAGTAGGGGTAGACTGGTCACTAGTCACACTGGTCAGTAGGGATAGACTGGTCACTAGTCACACTGGTCAGTAGGGATAGACTGGTCACTAGTCACACTGGTCAGTAGGGATAGACTGGTCACTAGCCACACTGGTCAGTAGGGGTAGACTGGTCACTAGCCACACTGGTCAGTAGGGGTAGACTGGTCACTAGTCACACTGGTCAGTAGGGGTAGACTGGTCACTAGTCACACTGGTCAGTAGGGGTAGACTGGTCACTGGTCACACTGGTCAGTAGGGATAGACTGGTCACTAGTCACACTGGTCAGTAGGGGTGGACTGGTCACTAGCCACACTGGTCAGTAGAGGTAGACTGGTCACTAGTCACACTGGTCAGTAGGGGTAGACTGGTCACTAGTCACACTGGTCAGTAGGGATAGACTGGTCACTAGCCACACTGGTCAGTAGGGATAGACTGGTCACTAGTCACACTGGTCAGTAGGGATAGACTGGTCACTAGTCACACTGGTCAGTAGGGATAGACTGGTCACTAGTCACACTGGTCAGTAGGGATAGACTGGTCACTAGTCACACTGGTCAGTAGGGGTAGACTGGTCACTAGTCACACTGGTCAGTAGGGATAGACTGGTCACTAGTCACACTGGTCAGTAGGGATAGACTGGTCACTAGTCACACTGGTCAGTAGGGATAGACTGGTCACTAGCCACACTGGTCAGTAGGGGTAGACTGGTCACTAGCCACACTGGTCAGTAGGGGTAGACTGGTCACTAGTCACACTGGTCAGTAGGGGTAGACTGGTCACTAGTCACACTGGTCAGTAGGGGTAGACTGGTCACTGGTCACACTGGTCAGTAGGGATAGACTGGTCACTAGTCACACTGGTCAGTAGGGGTGGACTGGTCACTAGCCACACTGGTCAGTAGAGGTAGACTGGTCACTAGTCACACTGGTCAGTAGGGATAGACTGGTCACTAGTCACACTGGTCAGTAGGGATAGACTGGTCACTAGTCACACTGGTCAGTAGGGATAGACTGGTCACTAGTCACACTGGTCAGTAGGGATAGACTGGTCACTAGTCACACTGGTCAGTAGGGATAGACTGGTCACTAGTCACACTGGTCAGTAGGGATAGACTGGTCACTAGTCACACTGGTCAGTAGGGATAGACTGGTCACTAGTCACACTGGTCAGTAGGGGTAGACTGGTCACTAGTCACACTGGTCAGTAGGGATAGACTGGTCACTAGTCACACTGGTCAGTAGGGATAGACTGGTCACTAGTCACACTGGTCAGTAGGGATAGACTGGTCACTAGCCACACTGGTCAGTAGGGGTAGACTGGTCACTAGCCACACTGGTCAGTAGGGGTAGACTGGTCACTAGTCACACTGGTCAGTAGGGGTAGACTGGTCACTAGTCACACTGGTCAGTAGGGGTAGACTGGTCACTGGTCACACTGGTCAGTAGGGATAGACTGGTCACTAGTCACACTGGTCAGTAGGGGTGGACTGGTCACTAGCCACACTGGTCAGTAGAGGTAGACTGGTCACTAGTCACACTGGTCAGTAGGGGTAGACTGGTCACTAGTCACACTGGTCAGTAGGGATAGACTGGTCACTAGCCACACTGGTCGGTAGGGGTGGACTGGTCACTAGTCACACTGGTCAGTAGGGATAGACTGGTCACTAGTCACACTGGTCAGTAGGGGTAGACTGGTCACTAGCCACACTGGTCAGTAGGGGTAGACTGGTCACTAGTCACACTGGTCAGTAGGGATAGACTGGTCACTAGTCACACTGGTCAGTAGGGGTAGACTGGTCACTAGTCACACTGGTCAGTAGGGGTGGACTGGTCACTAGTCACACTGGTCAGTAGGGATAGACTGGTCACTAGTCACACTGGTCAGTAGGGGTAGACTGGTCACTAGCCACACTGATCAGTAGGGGTAGACTGGTCACTAGTCACACTGGTCAGTAGGGGTAGACTGGTCACTAGTCACACTGGTCACTAGGGTAGACTGGTCACTAGTCACACTGGTCAGTAGGGATAGACTGGTCACTAGTCACACTGGTCAGTAGGGGTAGACTGGTCACTGGTCACACTGGTCAGTAGGGATAGACTGGTCACTAGTCACACTGGTCAGTAGGGATAGACTGGTCACTAGTCACACTGGTCAGTAGGGGCAGACTGGTCACTGGTCACACTGGTCAGTAGGGATAGACTGGTCACTAGTCACACGGGTCAGTAGGGATAGACTGGTCACTAGTCACACTGGTCAGTAGGGGAAGACTGGTCACTAGTCACACTGGTCAGTAGGGGTAGACTGGTCACTAGTCACACTGGTCAGTAGGGATAGACTGTTCACTAGTCACACTGGTCAGTAGGGATAGACTGGTCACTAGTCACACTGGTCAGTAGGGGTAGACTGGTCACTAGTCACACTGGTCAGTAGGGGTAGACTGGTCACTAGTCACATTGGTCAGTAGGGATAGACTGCTCACTAGTCACACTGGTCAGTAGGGGTAGACTGGTCACTAGTCACACTGGTCAGTAGGGTGGACTGGTCACTAGTCACACTGGTCAGTAGGGGTAGACTGGTCACTAGTCTTACTGGTCAGTAGGGATAGACTGGTCACTAGTCACACTGGTCAGTAGGGATAGACTGGTCACTAGTCACACTGGTCAGTAGGGGTAGACTGGTCACTAGCCACACTGATCAGTAGGGGTAGACTGGTCACTAGTCACACTGGTCAGTAGGGGTAGACTGGTCACTAGTCACACTGGTCACTAGGGTAGACTGGTCACTAGTCACACTGGTCAGTAGGGATAGACTGGTCACTAGTCACACTGGTCAGTAGGGGTAGA